CCCCTCCCCCTTCCCCTCCTCCTTCCCATTCTCCTCCTCCCCCCTCTTCCTCCCCTTCCGTCAAACCAGTATCTATCTATCTCCATCGAAGTCCATTCGCTGCTGGGCAAGAGAGGTTTCGGAGCTTTCCTGTACCGGTATTGGAACTCGTAACCATCGGTGCATCAACAGATCAAAACATAAACATTTCCACCTTCTCGTCCCGCCAGTGCTGCTTTCAAAGGCAAGGCTTTCGCCATGCCATTTTCTCTGCCATCTTTCAAGTATCCGCTTGCGCGCCCGGATGAGGGATATTGGAACCCCGTCACCTCGACGATCAACTGGTGCGAAGGTATTTCGCTCTCTGCCCCATGGACCCTGCCGTCCTGATGTTTTCATTCCAGAGGATTACTACGCGACCATCTACTCGGCCGAAATCGTCAATACTCTCACGAACCTACTGTTCATATGGCTCGGGGTCAAGGGCATTCGCAACTGTATGAAACATGGCCATGACAGTATCTTCATCGCCTCGTTCTTGGGTTGTCAGTAAGCCTACGCTCGCCTCCAAGGCGCATGTACTGATGTGCGCAGACCTGCTAGTTGGGAGCGGATCCTTTGCTTTTCATAGCACCCTGAAGTGTAGGTCGCCCACGCGTTTACCAAAGAGCGCTCAGCAACTGATTTGATACAGACCCGATGCAGCTGGTGGATGAGCTTTCCATGATCTACACGGCGATTATCATGTGCTATGCCACATTCTCATTCTCGCAGTCTCGACTGAACCGGATATTGCTCGGGGTCGGATTGTCCGGATTGGCAGTATTCATTACGGTTTGTGCCACTTCACAGGAAAGCCGGTAGGAAAACTGACAGAGATCAGCTGTACTATCACTATCTCCAAGACCCAGAATTCCACCAGAACGCCTTCGCCCTCCTCCTCATTGTGATCATGGCTCGAAGCACATACGTGATGGAAGTAAACATCAGACCGAGCCTGAAGGAAAAGTACGGCATGAAATCCCGCAAAACCATTGGATCAGAGCCTCTCGCAGCTTCAGAAAGTGTGGCGAATGATCTGCGGGACACGGCTATCCTCAAGAATATGTGGTTGATGGTAACAATTGGCCTGGCTATCTTCTTGGGCGGTTTTGGAATCTGGAACTTGGATAACCTCTACTGCTCCACTGCACGGCAGTGGAGACATCAGGTTGGATTGCCTTGGGGGATCCTGCTTGAGGGACACGGGTGGTGGTGAGTCTTGGTGATTGCAAATGGAACTGAGTTACTGACAGTGAAATAGGCATTTGATGACTGGAGTTGGAGCCTATTATTACATTGTCTGGGCTATTTGGTTGCGTCACTGCCTCAACGAGCGGAAAGACGAGTTTGTGCTGAACTGGCCATCGATTTGGTCCATCCCAGAAGTTACCTCTTGCTCAACTGCTGAGAAAAGCAACGGGTGGTCAAATGGCTACTACAGTAGCTACACTAACGGTCACCTAACCGGAAAAGCGAATGGGAGAGCGAGGGGTCATGGGAATCGTGAGGACAGAAAGTCTGTTTAGGAAAGGATTGAGTAGTGGAAGAAGGTCCAGCTGGTTGGATGGCTGGATGCACATAGAAAGGATGGATAGAGCAGCGCATAGATTATACCCCCTGGTCTTCGATCCAATTGTTGGATTGATGAGCAACTAATAAGAAATATTCTATTGTTTTAACAAGGGTCCTCCTTGGCCTTTCCTCGAAGCGATTGTTTGCGATTGAGCAGTGGTGGTACTCGTGCGGCCAGCATATCTATCCCCGTGCGTTGATCTTTTTGAACCGGGAAGAGGTTGTAACGCTCTGTACGGACATGGTTTGGCTAAGCGTATATTTAGAAAACTTGACTCTATATTTGGAACGATTTACGACATGGGGCCTCACGAGTATTGTGTAGGTAATGTGTAGGTAATAGGTATATTAGCCATGTTGACTAACAAAGGGACTGTAGTGAACAAACTCCAGTAGTAGCATATTTTATCTTCCAAAATAAAGTGGTCTTCTAAAGATTCCAGTACCGGTACCAGAGAATCCGGCCCTGACTGCGGCCTTGTAGCAATAGTTCGGCAGCCAGCCTCGCTGCCGCGTCACACAGCCTTGTTTGGTGGGCTCGTGAGGAATTTCGATCTACGCGTCTAGCGCAAAAGCTTAAGCACTTGCTTGCTACTCGAGTGGTATCACATCTGTTGGCATGTAGCAGTGTGGGTTCGGCTTTTCAGATCCGAACACGCAATCCCAAATTTTATTTTCTTCTTTAATTTCGCACGTACTACCTGCCACGAAGGCATCTTTGTGCTCTCCGGCAACTTCTACTCGACTCAACTCGACTCGGCTCGAGGAATTGTTTTGCCCCCTACGTCTTCGACTTTGTCTTGCCTGCCTGCCGGCCTCGGCCTCTCTCTCTCTCTCTCTCTAGATCCGCACGTCCCTTGCATACCGTGATATGAATGCGTCGATACGAAGGAGGGAATTGAGACATTGCTGAATTATTAGGGGATTGATTGAGAGATATTGCGACAGGGGTTTCAAAAAGGCAGGAAAGGGCAGGAAAGGGCAGGAAAGTGGAAGGGGAGCTAGCTACGAGCCTACGGACGGTGTCGGGAGTTGGGAGCACACAGCTGTTGATATCTGGTTGGTAACTGATTGATCAGAGTGATCAGGTATCAGCTGGGGCACTGGCACAGGCACATACCTACGACACCCGATCCATAACCAAACCAGCGGGTTTTTCTTTCGACGCGATACATTCGATTTCAAAGCGCGCTTCGGACACCGGGGTCGAAGAAGCGACAGGTGTCAGAGGGCTATTGAGGCGGGAGAGGAGAGAAGGGGGAAGATTGAAGAGGAAAGTGGAAAGGGAGAGAGCGAAAGAGAGAAAGAGAAAGAGAGAGAAAGGGAGGGGGACGTAGAAAGATGGCAGCCTCCAAGCAGACCTCCCGCTGGGGCAGCTTCCTCCAGCAAGCCGTCGCGGGCGTCGAGTCTCGGCTGGATAATATCCTTGCTGAGGGCGTGGAGGAGCAGATGCAGAATGCTGCCGCGCAGCATCAGCAGCAGAGCCAATTGCAGAGTCAGCTGAGGACTGGGTCACCAGTCAATGGTGGTGGTGCTCCTGTTGGGAAGGTAGAAGGAGGTGCGCATTCCCTATCCTCCTGTTGCTCTGTGTCTTGCTTGAATATGAATTCTGGGCAGGAGCTGTGGTTGAAAGACATGCGCTGATTCTTAGGGTGCAACAGTTTCCAAATCGGCTTCTACGAGTAATCGAGCGCCTGATAGACTTCAAGAGCGATTGGCAAGGGCTATTGCCAACAAGCAGAAGGGGGAAGCTGGGAGTGGGACTGCGAGTGGGGTGCCGAGTAGGGTGGGCAGCCCGGTGACGGTGTCGGTGGGAAGTAGTCCGAGGCAAAGCTTGGATCATACAATGCCGAAGGCTACGAATAGTGCCAGACAGAGTATTGATGTCCCTGCTGCGGTGAAGGCTGAGAACACGGAGGATGGGAAGGCGGAGGAGGTACAAAAGACCACGGAGGAGAGTAGTGATGTGAAAGAGGTGCAGGCAGAAGCTTCTCCTATTGCTATAGAGCCTGGAAGCTCGACCGTTGAGAAAGTGGTGGGGACGACAGAGTCCAATGGCCAATTATTGAAGACAGAGACTGAGGCTTCCCCAAGACCGTCAGCGGAGTCTTCAATACCGAGTTTACCTAGGGACTCGATTGACTCGGCGAGACAACCTAGCCTGCCACCTTCTATGGACCTGCCTCCGGCTGATCGAGCGACTAGCAGCATTGCTACATTCAAGTCAACAGAGGAACTCGAGTCGCTTTACAAAAAGCTACAAACGGACTACGAGACCGCTGAACTTCAACGCCAAGAAGAAATCCATGGATATATTGAGCGCATAGATGCGCTACAGTCCAAGCTACAGTATCTAGCCAAAGAAGGCGCTGAAGCAGCTCGGAAAGCCAGCGGTGCCGCTCCAAGCGGGAGTCTGGAGAAGAAGCTCGCAGACAAGGAGGAGCAGATCGCTTTGCTCATGCAGGAGGGTCAGAAGCTTTCCAAGAAGGAAGTCAACCAGCTCACCACGATCAAGAAACTCCGCGCCAAGATCCAGGAAGACAGCAAAGCTGTTGAAGAAGCGAAGCGGAAGCAGGAGATTGCTGAGCGGGACATGGCTATCTTGGCGGAACGATTGAAGAGAGCTGAGACGTTCGAGAAACGACTCGGCGAGAAGCAGAAAGAAGTCACGCAACTGCAGAAGGATGTGGAGACGCTGAAGACGGCAAACGAGGTGAAAAACTCGGCTGTTATGGAGCTTGAAGCTGAGCTTAAGGAAGCCATTGCGCAAGGCAAGGAAGCGGAGATGAAGGCTGCCAACGAGGCTCTCGAGGCCGAGAAGAAGCGTGTTGCTGAGCTGGAAGACGATATTTCAAATCTGAAGATCGAGAAGGATTTGGTCGCTGATCGGGCACGAGCGCAGGTCAAAGAGCTGAAGGAGAAGGCTGAGAAAGATGCAGAACGTGCTCGGGTGGTGGAGATGGAGATGAAGAATGAGCTACAGATGTTGGAGAGCAAGTTAGAGGTTATGAGGGCTAGGGCTGAAGAGGTGTCTTCCGGGGCTACGGGCGATGCTCAGGCCAAGCTACTGAGGCAGATTGAGACGCTGCAGACTCAGTATGCGGTTGCTAGTGAGAATTGGCAGGGCATTGAATCCTCGCTTATCGCACGGGCGACGAGTCTAGAGAAAGAGAGAGATGAGGCTGCGAAGAGGGAAAGCGATGTTAGGAGGAAAGCTCGGGAAGCTGTAAGTCAAGCCCAGATTGTTACGAATGAAGCGATGCTAATATAGTGTAAACAGACTCTAAAAGCAAAGCGCAACGAAGACGAGCTCGAAGAGTCCCGATCCAAAATGCCCAGCTTCCAAAAAGAACTCGCCGAACACAAAGCCAAGCTAGACACGCTGCAGCAAAGAGCTGAGGCGGCTGAAGCAGCTCTAATCGAAGCCCGCGCCACCTTCGAGCAAGAGAAACTCGCCTGGCAATCCGAGCTGCAGAACCGCATCGACGAAGAGCGCCAAAAGCTGCAAGAAGAAACAATTCAAAATCCCGGTTCGTTCTCCTACCGCCCCGGGTCACCCGTGGCATCTACCCGCCGCGGCATCACGTCCGAGTATGTTGGGCTCCAGAACCTACATATCCGCCGCACCTCCGCCTTCTCTGTCATCAACGAAGTCTCAGCCTCGCCAACCGGGTACGTGGGAAGAAGAACGTCGGCGCAGCCGCTCAGACAAGCTAGTGGGAATGCGACGCCGAAGCGGCAGGACTCGATGCAGAGTCTGATGGAGAAGCGCAAGGAGGACGAGAATAATGTCGAGAGTCCGCCCGCGCATACGGAGAACGACTCCTTCTTCGAGCAGAACGTGTCAGCGTCCTCGCCGGACCAGACGATCAACGACCTCGTATCTGTGTCCACAGCTGGCGCCGGGCCCTCGGTCCAACTCGTCGAACGCATGTCCTCGGCCGTGCGCCGGCTCGAGAGCGAGAAGGTTGCGACGAAGGAAGACCTGGCGAGGCTGGCGGCGCAGCGGGACGAAGCGCGCGCGGAGATCGTGGCACTGATGCGGGAGGTGGAAGCGAAGCGGAAGGTGGACGAGCGGGCCCAGCAGCTGGAGGCTGAGGTCGAGAGGCTGAATGAGCGGTACCAGACGACGCTGGAGATGCTGGGCGAGAAGAGCGAGATGGTTGAAGAGCTCAAGGGGGACGTGAGCGATCTGAAGGCTATGTATCGGGAGTTGGTCGAGAGGACTCTGAAGTGAGATGGAGAATTGGAAAGGCGCAGACGGAGACGGAGACATGGAGTGCTTTTCTGTTTTCTGTGTTCTTGTTTCCTGTCGTCTCCCTGGCTCGCTTGGAGACGGGGGATCCTTGGGGGCGGAGGGGGATGGAACCGGATGGGACGAGATTCCGATGGGCAGGGGATAAGAGGAGTTCGAGTGAGAGTTGAGAGGGGGAGAATAAATGTACACGTAGTAACCCGAGATTTGAGCGAGAGAGAGAAAGAGAGACTGTTCTAAGCAAGCGAGCGTAGTCTTGTTCTGCTCTAAGCGATGTTTTGTTTTTTGTTTTTTTTTGTTTTTCTCCTGTCAGATACAAATGAAATGTACGAGGTTTTACATCTTTCGTGATCATATGATCATGAGAGAAATGATACATATATATATATATATATATATTCTTATTCTTTCCTTCCGTTGGTTTTTTTTGGGGGGGGGGGAAGGGAGGGAAATTTTGAAATCTTGCGATTTTGCAATTTCACCATCGGTTTGGAGACTTTTTTAAGTTAGGCTATGCTATTGCGATGCGATGCGAGGTTTTTGTTTTCGAGGTCGATCTTGTGAGGTCGAGGTCGAGGTCGAGGTCGAGGGTAATTGAATAGAGGAATTGAAGGTGGGGTTGGCTGGTTGGTTAGGTGAGTTGGTGAGTGGGTGAGTGGGTGAGTGAGCTTTTTTTTTTTTTTTTTCCAACCTCTTCTTTTGTGTGTACGTCTTCTGTAACTTTTCTGTGCGGAGCGTTTGCTGGCTGTATGGAGCCGTTTGCTTGCTGCAGGTGGGGGGATACGGTAGGTGGATAGGTATAGTTGGGGGTTGGGAGTTGGGAGTTGGGAGTATGGCATGACATGGTATGATGGGATAGGAAGAGAGTGGGTGGGGGGGCGTCGGTCAGTCATTTACTCGTTCCATCGTATATATGTTTGTATCTTTGGGTGGGATGGGGGGCTTGCTAAAGGGTTGTGGTTGTTGTTGTTGTTGTTGTTGTTGTTGGGCGTAGGTAGGTAGTAGTTAGATGAGGGGTAAGTGGTAAGTGGTAAGTGAGTAAAATGTAGTATTGCTATAGGAATGAATGAATGAATGAATGAGAAAATGGGAAATCTCAGGGTTTCATTATTGTCTTTACTCGCTGGCGCTAGATAGGTAGGTAGCTAAGTACTCCCCGTTTCGAAATGAAGATGATTTCATCAGGTGTGTGTATATATGTGTTTATGTATGTATGTAGATCGAGCGAGCGAGCCAGCAAGGGGCTACGATAGTGCATCCAGATATTATTGGCATATTGTATTGTATTGTATCATGGTGGTATTCATTCCAAAGTGAAAGAAGGCTGGGATGAGGGAGGAGGAGAGAGAGAGAGAATGAAGGTTGGCACCAAAAAAGAAAAGGGTAGCTAGTTAATCGAGTTTTTTTTTTAAAAAATTGAGAGTGATAGTGAAAGTTGAGAGCCAACTGAGCTAGCTAGCTACGCCGCAATCTCGATCCCTTCCATCTCGGCCGCTTTCAGAATGTACTTCCGTACCTGCGAGTCCGGGGCGAGGTCGAGAGGGAGGAAGTCCTCGTTATCTTTCTTGTCAAACTCGGCACCGGCTTTGAGGAGCGCTACTGCCGTGTCGCCTGTTGTACTCGCGAAAATCGCTGGTTAGCATTCGAGTTTCATTCACAGCGTCCCCAGATCTCAAACTTTTCTCGACTCCCCCCTCCCCCCTTTCCATCAACCAGATACAGTGTGACAGTGGATCTGAAAGCCAGGTCCAAAAATATGACAGGGAAAAGAAGGAACGATAATAGGGATTAAAGGGGAGCAGACGTAGAACGATAAGGGAGAGGCGCGACATACCATGGCCCTCAGCAACAGCGTGGTGCAGCGGCGTCTGTCCCGCGATGTCGGCTGGGTTCAGCGGGCTCTTATTCTTGAGCAGCAGCTCGACGATGGGGACCGAGCCTACGGCCGCGGCGCGGTGAAGGGCGTATTGGCCTCGCTTGTCCTTCACCCGGGTGGATGCTGGTGGAGAGTGAGCTAGCAGGCGCTTGGCGATGGGGATATTCTTTTTGGAGGAGACGAAGTGGAGAGCTGTCTACGAGGGGAGTGGGTGTTAGTAACGTTCGGGATGTAGGTAGCTGCGTAAACAATTTTCCCCAAAGAAATATTGATGTGGTGATGACTGGGTGGGTGTACTTGGCCGCTGAAATCTGGATATGATGTTAGCGCAGGGTTGGTTTACTTATAGGAGAGAGCGCGAGAGAATGGAGGATGTACTCTTTGCATTTACATCCGCCTCTTTCCTCAATAACAGATCCACGAGCTCATCTCCATCTTTTAAGCTCACAGCTATCATCAGCGGTGTCCATCCTGAACCATCCTAATTGCTTTTCGTCAGCACCTGTTCGCATCTCATGCCCTTCCACCTCTCAATTTCCCCTAAAAACTCAAGACGAGAGACAGGGAGGGCCATACATACTTGCACATCCGGATCAAAGTCCTTGGTAGCGGCCAATATTTTGACTATATCGAGATTTCCGTACGAGACGGCCCAGTGCAGGGGCAAACGGCCGTCGTCGTCGACACGTTGGGCGAGCTTGGGGTTGGCCTGTTCCAGCACACAGTTTCTCAGCCGGTGTCCTTGAATTACAGTCTATTGCTTCTTGTAACGGAGATAAGCAAGCCATCTCACATTCAAAAGTGATTCCACAATAACAGCTAGCTATGTTAGCTTAGTTCATCTAGCCGGGTAGTTAGGAGAAGAAGGATAGGAGGAGTCACTTCTGCCGTCTCGAGCTGCTTCGTGGAGGGCAAACTTGGAGGGTTCTTCCGTTGCCATTATGAGGGGTTGAGAGGAGAGATGCAGGACGAGGTTTGAGACTTGAAAGGTTTTCGATTTTGTTTACGGTAGGAAGTCTGAGATGAGAAAATAGTCGTCGTCTTGGAGTAGGGAGCCTGATTCTTAGCGCCTCAGGCTGATATGATATGTAGGGTATTGAAGGCGACTGGTTCACTCCAAATAGGCCAGAGAGTTATGATTTTGAAAGAAAAACCAAGTATTAAGTTGGGAAACTTATCAGTGTTATAATTTGAATTGTGTGGAAGTTGGCGCATTTGCAAGTATACAAAGTAGTATAGATCCAACTCCATGCCAAGTTCGCTAGCGCTATAGTAGCTCCCAAGCAAGAATCGCGTAGACCGTCCACTTGGCCAGCCTCGTCTGCAACCTCAATAAAGTAAACCCGTCTACACATCTGCAGATCCACCATGGCCACCACGGCAAAACAAACTGCCACCTCGGTGACCTCGGTGACATTGCTCGAGGAACAACCGACTCCGACGCCCCTAGAAACCCTGTTGGTAGAGAATCGGAAGCGAAGCAGAGCGCAATTCGAAGCCGGCGCATCGACGGATGACTTCGATGGGGGTGCAAGCAAGAACGGCCTCGCAGCTCGAATCTACTCAGAATACTCCTCCTTTGCTCCAGCGCCCATTCCAGAACCCAAAGCCAAGTCCAAAGCATCGCAGAATGGCTCCTCGACCGCCCTGGTGCGAACAAATGGGAAGGCGAAGACGGCAACTGCGACATCACAAAATGGCTCCTCATCCACGAGTCTAATACACAGACCTTTACCGCAAAAGAACCTTCCGGGCTCGAGCATGGTCCGCAAACAGACCTTCGTGCAGCAAAAACCAGAATGGCACGCGCCGTGGAAGCTGATGCGCGTCATCTCTGGTCATCTGGGCTGGGTGCGCGCCTTAACTGTCGAGCCCGAGAACAAATGGTTTGCCTCTGGCGCCGGCGACCGTACGATCAAAATCTGGGATCTCGCGACGGGGAGCCTGAAGCTCACATTGACGGGTCACATCTCCACCGTCCGCGGCCTGGCTGTCTCACCTCGGCATCCGTATTTGTTTTCTTGCGGGGAGGATAAGATGGTCAAGTGCTGGGATCTGGAGACGAACAAGGTGATCAGGCATTACCATGGGCATTTGAGTGGCGTGTATACGCTGGCGCTACACCCGACGCTGGATGTGTTGGTCACGGGTGGTAGAGATGGTGTGGCAAGGGTCTGGGATATGAGGACGAGGAGCAATATCCATGTTTTGGCTGGGCATAAGGGAACGGTTTCTGATTTGAAGTGTCAAGAGGCAGATCCACAGGTCATCACTTCGTCTCTGGATACGACTGTGCGGTTGTGGGATTTGGCGGCGGGAAAGACGATGGGCGTTTTGACGCACCACAAGAAGGGCGTGAGGGCGCTCGCTGTGCACCCGAAAGAGTTCACGTTCGCGAGTGGGAGCACGGGGAGCATCAAGCAGTGGAAGTGTCCCGAGGGAGCCTTCATGCAGAATTTCGAGGGCCAGAACTCGATCATCAACACCATGTCTGTCAACGAGGACAATGTCCTGTTTTCAGGTGGTAAGTACATTTCGCCTGATTAAAAAAACGAACATGACTGACGGGAAGTAGGCGACAACGGATCAATGAGTTTCTGGGACTGGAAAACAGGCCACAGGTTCCAAGCCCTGGACACCACAGCCCAACCCGGCTCTCTCGATGCCGAAGCAGGACTCATGAGCTCTACATTCGACAAGACCGGCCTCCGTCTGATCTGTGGAGAGGCTGATAAGACCAGTAAGCTCATCTTTGTCCTCCAAGCCATCCGAAACATTCGCTAACAACCTCACAGTCAAAGTCTGGAAACAAGATGACTCTGCAACGCCAGAGACCCACCCCCTGGAATGGAAACCAACACTGGGCAGGCAAAAGTTTTAGTATGATATCAGCAGAATGGGCACGCATGGCATGGCGAACGGCGTTTCCGCTAGGTCATTATCTAGGCAAGATAAATTTTCACAGTACCGTATATGGGTATTGTAATATTACGTTCTTCACACCGGGTATCTTTCAGAATCCAAACCCCTTGACCTCAGGGTCATCCTTGAACGCCTGCTTCACATCCTCTTCCCCGATACACAGCCTGATCTTGCCCGTGCGCTCCGCCCTCCTCGTTTCAAGGCCAACGATACCCGCCTCCATGAGATCCACAGCACTCCCCCCCATAGCCAGCACTCTCGGCACTTTCTTGTCCTTCATGCCCACACTCGTACCCGCACCCATCTCCATCCTTGTATCTTTGAGCAAGAACTCTAAGTGGGAGCCACTCTCCATCCTCGCCATGCGTTTCGCCTCATCCATCACCTCTCCCAGAATGCTCTCTCCAATGCCCGTCCTCCTGGTCTTGACCAACAGCGCCGCGAGCAAAATCTTGGCCGCCAGAGGTAAACTGCGTAAACACTGTTGTAGCGGACTCGTCGTCGCCTCATTGATAGCCCTCTTCACTGTCGCAATCGTGACCGTACCCAAATTCCGGCTCGGCTTCCCCGCCCCCTCGGCGCCATCCCGGTTAGCTTTGCGGCCAGACTTTGACGGCGTGTCTGGGGCGGGCAGGGCCAGGATCTCAGCTTCGGCGAGCTCGACGGCGCGGCGACAGATGTCGAGGGCGCGGCGGGCGTCCCCGGAAACGGCGGCCACCTTGCGCGATGCGAACTGGATGGCGTCCGGGTCGACGATGGAGTTGGGGACGCCGGTTAGGCGCGACTGGATGATCTTCATGAGTTGGTCGTGGGTGTAGCCGGGGAAAGTTATGCGGGTGAGGCCTGTGTCTCATTAGTCCTTGCTGTACTGTACTGTAGTGAAGGAAGTGTAATGAAAAGGTTGGAGAGAACGGGGTCAGGAGAGGAAGAATGAAGGAGGACGTTACCAAGTCTGCTACTAATCTTGTTACTCAATGTTCGCTCCGGCAAATCCATCGTATTGGCCACAGCAAGCACAATTAATCGACTGTGTCTCAGACCGGGCCAGTTGAAAAAGTTATACATCACGCTCTGGTTCTTCGTCACCAGCTGATCCAGCTCGTCCATCAGCACCACACACGGCACCCGTCTCGGACTCGGGTGGTTGAACTCCCTCTCCAGCAAATCCAACGCATGCGTGGGGCTCACGCGATCTCCCTTCAGCGCTTCCCAGAGTAGAGAGTACGACTGGTGCGGATCCGTGACTTTCATGCCGTTGATCTCCAAGAAGATGAAATCGTCCAGCTCGTCAGCCAGCACAGAGGCGTTGAGCTGCGCGACTACTTCACGGACGGTGGCGGTCTTCCCGGTGCCTGGTGTACCCGAAATGTAGATGCAGGCCCCCGTGCCTTCCACGATGGCGGCTTCGAGATGGGAGTAGACGGATGCGAATTCGTCTTCGCGGCATGGGAGAGAGGTTGGTACAGACGAGACGTGGAGCCTGGAGCGGGCTGTCTGGAAGGGAGACGACTCGACGTGCTCGGGGTCCAGCATGCGGGTTCCTAGAGGCGTGAACTCGAGAGGTTTTTTGATAACCACTTTTCTGTGGCTTGGTGTCAGCAGTTTGGAGGGGGTGCGTGGTTTGCGTGGTGTGGTAACCGAGGAGAACTTTTGCTTCTTTCGTGGCGTTTCGACTTTTCCATCTTCATCGTGAGTAAGATCGCCTCCAAAATCATCGTCTTCCATTTTACGCTTCTGGCCTCTCCGTTTTTTGACTGTGGATTTAGTCTCGGACTTTATGCGGTCGTGCAGTTGAACGACTTCCTCTTCGGTGCTGTGCTTGATAGTCTCCCATTCAAACTCCTTGGTGTACGTAGCAGTACGGGTATCGCAGCCTCTCCGGCAGATGTAGGTCTTGCCATACTCTTTATCTCTCTTGGAAATCTTGCCGGTAGGGTACTTCATATTAAAGGCTTTTTCTGAAAGCAGGTATGCCGTGCCATTGATCGACTCGAGAGGGTTGATATCAGTATCGGGCGTAAGATACAGTTCGTTCTAGTGCCAAATCAGCTTTGCTAAAACATCTCGAAGAAGTTGCTTACAGGCAGGAAGTCAGATCTCTTCTTTTCCTTGATTTTCGGCCGAATCTCCTTCTCATTCGCAAACCCTACTCCCCCATTAGCCTTTGCCCCTCAATTGTGACCCAGGAAACCTACACATGAAATTGGCAGATTTCTCCCCATCATCGTCATCCAAAAACTGCTGTATGAGGCCCACCCAGCATTGACTCTGCCCCTCTGCCTTCAACAACACCGAATCCCCAACCTTACAACTAAAGGTCCCCATCTTGGCCCCTACAATCTCCCCTCTTGATTTGATCGCACTCCTCGCCTTCCTCTTCTTCGACCTGTTCTCCTCATCTGCAGACTCTTCATCTCCCTCCCCATTTTCCCGTCTCGCGTAAATCCATTCCCATGGATGCTCGTCCGTACCCAGCTCGTCGTCCGAGTCTTCCCTCGTGAGCGTCCCGCCTGCGAGAAGCTTGCGCGCTCTCTCTGCCTTGTCTGCGCGCTTCTGCCAGGGGGTTGCGGGTCTGGGTTTGGATGAGGGCGCCATTGCGCAGGTTTGATATGCGTGGCTCCTTGTGCTGGAGTTGCCAAGGTCGGAGGTTATACTGGAGGTTGCATTCCTTAGCGAGCTTTCGAGGTTGACGCGAATTTTGCGCGAATTCTCGTGTTAAGTAGACATTCAGGGGCTTCGCTTAAGCATTGATCATCAGAAACATTGACAACAAAATCTCATTCTCAGTGCTCAATTGATTGTTACGCAAATACATTCAATAGCTTTTACTATCTTCATTCAGGATGCAACTATAGCGCCGTATATGCCGAGGTTCAAGCAATCCTGAATCCTGAAGCCTGAAGCCTGCAATCTAGCTAGATATTTGTCCCAGTAATCAAAGCAACTGCGTAATAAAAGCAACCAACTGTGTGCAAGTGCGGTAAGTGGTCATCAGAACAATGACTGATTCTGGTGACCGGCGGAGTCCAAATCAGTTTAGCTAAGGCCCTCTACTGTAAATAAAAAAAAACCCCGACGCGATATGAACAACTCAAGCAATGTTCCAGAAAAAGCTGCCGCCCGCAAGCCCTGTTATCGGTTCACCTTTATCTCCCGTGATGCAGGGCCGGATCAATAGTCGGTCCGAGAACAAACAAGCCTTAGCTCAACCCCAAGGGTGAATCGACCTCCCCTTCTTACCAACTCGACCCTCTCAATCGCACCTCTTCAATCTCGACACACCCAACTACAACCACCACCACCACCAATAACAATAACAATAACAATAAACCCGAATCGCACCCAAGAGACAATGTCCACTCCCAAGAGCCAACAGTGTAAGATGAAGCCTCTATACCCAGCTATTGGGGGCGAAAGGAAAGGAAATGCTAAGACAAAAAGGCAGTGGACCTCTCGACCCTTACAACCCAACAGCTCTCACAGGTCAAGAAGCAGCTCGACGACGAGATCGAGCACCTGAACAACTCGCATGGCCAGCTGCGCCAGGCACAGGCCAAATTCCGCGAGTGCATCCGCAGTATCGCGGGTGGTGTCACGCCGAAGCTTGATGGTGCGTCGTTTTTTCCCTTCTTTGCTTCTCCCCACCCGTAGGCCACCTCTGGGAGGAGGGTTCTCGAAGATCGAGTTGCGAAGTTGGAATAGGAAATTACAGTGCGGATAGGAATTGGGCGTAAGTTGATGTACACGATGGCTGACTGCAAGCAATTATATAGGCAAACCGATCTTGGTCCCCCTCACAACTTCCCTCTACGTGCCCGGCACTCTCGCAGATCCCAATAACGTAATTGTAGATGTCGGTACAGGTTTCTACGTCGAGAAGGTACGTTCTCATCCCCCCTCCCCCCATGCGCATTCCCAAATCATCACACTAGCTAACAAAATAAAAACAGACCACGAAAGACGCAACTAAGTTCTACGAAGCCAAAGTCGAAGAACTAGGCGGCAACCTCAAGGGTCTCGAAGCCATCGTACAAGGCAAATCCAAGAATCTTTCAGTCGTGGAAGATGGTAAGTCACAATCAGCAAGCAAGCATCTTGCAGAAAGGACGAAGAAAGTTACTGAGTAGAATTTTAGTCCTAAGAGAGAAAGTCCTCCAGGCGCCGCCTCCTGCGTCTTCGTCTGCTGCCTAGGAAGACCTCGAGGAGCGCTATGTAACATTTAAGACCTGAAAGCGAAAGGCAAAAAACGCCCATTTCGGAAGCACCTACTACCCTGGAATCATCTCCGCAAATGGCGCAAACTCAGCAGTAACGCCAAGAGTTGTGGGAGACTTCAAAGGAAAACTTGCAAAAATGGGAATAACGAAAAAGGGCCCCGACCATGGTATCCTATCGCATGCGATAAGGCAGGAAGTGCAGGAGAATGGACTTCAGCCGTGTAGGTCAGTGAACATGAAGTCTCATGCGGGCATCGACCGACGCCGTCCGGATCAGAGGAATCCTATCCCAAATTACAATTAGTCATTTTGAGCGCCCTATACCATGCATGATACAAGCGTTAACGTACCTTCAGATACACTCTCGTCCGACCTCACCAGCTGCAAGCGCTGCTGCTCGAACCTGGAAAGCTCTCTGTTGGGTTGCCTTGACCAGGAGACTCTGCACGGCCGTCGTCTCTCTAAAAAATATCTCCAAGCCCGTCCAGTCTAGGCTGCTAGGAAACAGGTTGTTGAGACCAGATCCTCCAAAGTCACGAAATCTGCTTGTGTTTTCAATCGACTCCATCCACTCGTCCCAAAGAGGGTGAAACATCGACACAGATGCCTCCATGACCGGTTCCCCTCTGGTACTAGTCGTACCCGCCCAGGATCGGTAGATGGCGATCTCAACAATGTAGCCGGAATCCCGTAGCTTATACTGGATATCGCTTCTGACTACGATTTTGTCGATGCGGATTTGCGAGGTCGCACGAGGCTTCACTTGTGGATACTCCAGGCCAAGCTCATCCTCACGTACATCAGACTTGGCAGAGATGGAGTCTTTGATGAGTTGATAGATTCCTGATGGAATCGAGACAACCTCTTCGTCGGTCTTCACGTCAAGTTTGTAATCGATTTCCCTAATCATTATTTCAGTACGGTCATCACCATTTCTGCATTCCTTGAACTTACTTCTCGATATCAATCGTTGTCATCTGAATCAACTTGTTTCTTCCCGTTGTCTTTGCTTTGTCGCTCTTGTCATGACGGTAGAGATGAACAGAGCCAATCTGGTATACCAGGATCCCGTCCTCGTAGACCCTGTCAATTTCTGCCTCTACACGAAGGCCTTGGCCACCCGACGTGGTGAGAAAGATTACTTCGGTATTCTTGAACTTGATATCCCGGAGGTCTTGAGTACTGCCGTGAGCTGCAACGAAACGGGGGTGGTCGGATTTTACGATCTCGTCTTTCAACTTCATGACAATCTTCGCATCTCTGATTCTGCTATCATTAGCATAAACAGTGGGGAGGAAATCTGCGTTGAACTTACTTCTTGTCGAAAGTACCTGTCTGTCGCGGCTCGCCGACCATCTTGAGGAACTTTTCATAACTGACCGCGGAGGCTGCAAAACCCTTGTAGTATGCGGTAAGTTCTACGTGGCCAAACATGGTACGCATTCTCATCCATCCCTTCAAGGGCTCAATCAATTTCAGGTTCTTGATAAGATGGTCTTGGAAGCCTTTGCGATACTCCAGTACCTTGCGTCCGCGATCCTCATCCCATTCCTTCTTCTCAGTTGGCGACAGATCGTCTCCAGCCAGTTCCAAGAACTTGGCAAACTTGTCGGGGGCGGGTCGGCTCTCGCGTGGTCTGACAACTGTCTTCATCGCCGAACCATTTGGTGGGACGACAAAGTACACGTTGGTGGCCATGATCTTCTTGGCGTGTGCGTGCTGTACAGCAAGTCGGATGCCATCAATCACTGGCTTCAAGTCTTGACCAGGCACTCGCGAGCTGATGTTTATGCAATAACCTTCGACGTTGGACTCGATGAAGACACGATAATCGACTCTCAATGGGTTCAACGTCTCCATTCTCCACCCCAAAAGAGAGGTTGGGCCCTCGTTTGGGAGAGGCCACAGGTAGTAGGCCTGTGTTTCATAGGTTAGCGGTCGGCTTCTATCATCACTGTCTAAAGCGCTCACCATGGTAGCAAAATGTTCCTCCTGTGCCGGCGCCTTCATGAATTGGCCTCTGTCCTGCTGGTTCGCAGCTGACATCCCCTTCGAGACAACCTTTCTTCCTGTCTCGAGTTTCGGAAGTCCAGCCCATTTAGTCGCAGGGACGAGGTCGACTTTCTGGAGTCGCCCAGTGTAGCCATGCGTATAGGGGATCGATCCTGCGACGGAAGCGCGAGCAGCAGTCGCTGAAGAAGTCAGTTCTTTCTCAGCAAGAATGATGGAGTCGTTTCTTGCTTACAAGTACTAGCCATCTTTCTATGAGAGAATCGGGTATCAACCGTGCTTCCGCCGATCTCGCTACCGTGTTGGAATCGAGGTCCACTTAGCTGCGGGACGCTAGCTGATTGCGTAAGGCCTGGCCCAAGAGCTGCAGGAGTTGGAGCCTTTCCAGAGATGTTCTGGTTGTTGCCCTCTGAAGTAGTACGGACGCTTCCTACGCCTGAATAGGTACCACCCCGGCGTTGGGTGGTGCTGTATTTTTTACTTGCCTTGGTTGAAGTGCCTTTGAGATTGCCGCGCATAGTACTTGTCTTCGTTGGAGTGACTTGAGCATTGCCGTGCATAGAGCCTGGGCGGTTGCGAACTGCGTTTGCGTTTTGTGGCTTGCCCTTTGAGCTTGGGGTGAATCGGTGTGGAGGGTTAAATTGGACATCTACACCCGATGTGTTACGATAGCCAAGATTTTGACTAGATGATCTTGGGCCCGGATGGCCGTACGCCAGGCGATCAAAGCCACCCGGGGTGGTGTGGTTCTGGACATTTCTGGGCTGTTGGGCAGGGTTGTTCCCTTGGAAGCGATGTTCGCGCAAGGGGGCAATTGAAAGTCCTGGCGGGTATCGAGGAGCCGGTTGACCAGAGGGGCGAAGACTCGACTGTCCTTGAGGGTACTGAAGTACAGGTGGTGGGGGAGAGATTTCCGCGGAGGCAAATTCGATCAGAGGTCTGGTGTCGCCTTGGGTGGAGTCACGGTCATCTCGATCTTCTGCCGTTGAACCAGCTACAGTCAAATCATCGGCCACGGAGTCTGCATCCCATGCTGGAAGCTGTTAGCAATGAGAGGTGCTGTGACTCGAGCGCACCTACCACGGGCATTCTGGGTTTCATGGCTGCGGGCGGCTGTCAGCAAAGTTCTCACTGTCAGCTTGAGAAAGCTGTGCGCGGAGGTACTTACTCCTTCATCTTGGCAACTGGCACACCAGCAGCTATGTTGGTGTTGCTATTGCTGTTGGTTGTGGTGTTGTGGTGCTGTGGCGTTGTAGAAGGATTGACGGCGAGGTTGCGCTTAAAGCTGAGCTTGATATTCCGTGGGACGCTTAGGCCACCTCAACCCATCCGCCAAGGATGGCAATATCAGCCAGGCACAACCGAACCCAACACAACCGACCTGCTGGTCATGACGGTGAATTCAATAACAAGAGCAAGAGCAAGAGCGGTAACGTGCGTTTTAACTCTACTCCGGCAAATGGACGGTGGCTCTTTCCATTCCTTTCCTTTCCCCTCTACGGGCACGTCAATCAAGGCAGCTGCCCGATGTGGAAGGAAGCCGCGAGTGCTGTCGGCAAAGTTGCTGCTTCCACGCTGCCATTTTGCTGCCACATCTCCACCCAGCTTCCCAATCTGCATGAAGCATGAGATGAGGCTGATGAAAGCTGTGGTTGGAGAGTTGCAAAGTTCGACTTTGTTCTTATCATCCGGCTCTTGTGGCTCCTCTGTTATGATGGCACAAGTAGGTTGTCAGAGGCTCTACTAAAGGCTTGAGGTTTTCTTAAATAATGGCTACGTATCCCTGAGACTAAGCAGGTCAACTTGAGAGCCAACACATTGGTCTCTCATAGCTGGCAGCTCTCATGGCACGTGGAGTAGTGTTTCTTGTTGGACTCTCAGCTACGGTTTGGGATGAAGAGAATGGTGTATATATATGGGGTGTCGATGAACTGTGGCTGCTCTCTTGCAGACATGCACACTCTTTCCCGTTGCGTTGGCGGCATTTCAGACAGCTCTCGGGCGATTACGAGAAGCTCACATTGAGCAAATCTCTGGCCGACCTCGTAACTAAGCAAGACGGACTCGGAGGATTTGCATAGAGTCATACCACAACCCGACGGGTCGAGGCAGACCTGATGTTCAGGCTGATCAAAGCCATGATAAGCCGGCGGTTTGTTATAAGAAGCGAAGACCCAGTCAACATTCAGCTATGGGAAGCATCGCTGGAGCTTATGAAAACATATTTTGAGCTTAAAGGTGGTGCGGCGGAGGCAGTTAGTTGTCAAGAAAGAGATGATGGCAAAATTACCAAAGATGTCGCTGAATGCCTTCCAGAAAAAGAAGTAGAGGACAAGTTGGCTGAGGACTTGGAGCACAATTTCTGTCTCAACTGCCTTCAACATCATCGCGGAAGCAGGGACTGCGGTGGGGGTATCTTTGCTGTCATATTCATCATTGTTGTCACGGAGAGAGTACGCGAGAACTAGACTAGTTCGCTTCTCTACTCCCTGATATTCACCAGCGCGGCTTATGAGATCTATCTATTTTTCGGCCGCAGAAGGATCTCATCTGAGAAACATCCACCCCAAAATCTTGTCTCAGCTCCACAAGATCCATTCAAAAAAAACACCCCAGATCTTCCAAAGTCGAGCCAAGCCAAAATGCCCACCGAGATAACACAACCAGATCTTCAAGATCCAATGTCGATCTCAGCCGCAAAGCCCGTAAGTACCTTTCACCCATCTCCATCCAGACCTCCACAGCGATCCACTCGCTGCAGACTCTTCCGTGTATAGATACACCACCGCTAAACCCTCCTCTCAGAACCCATCGATCCCAGCCAACACCAGCACCAGCACCAATACCAACACCAGCACCAATACCAACACCAGCGCCAACACCAGCACAAACACCAGCACCAACACCAGCACCGCCCTCCGCGGTAGCGAAGAGCGCTCCTGGTTGTCTGACTACATCATCGACCTACTCTACTGCCAGCCATGCGTAGACTGCTGCTGTCCGAACAGCTAGGCTCTACTCACGAAGGGAGAAAACGAAAAAGGCAACGGGAGCAAATCTAAGGCTTGGCATTAGCATTGGCTGGCCGGCCGGCAGGGACCATAGCTCTTCGGGTGGAAACAGGTGGTGGACTCGGCTGCCCCCATTCCATGCCCGGCTTGGATCTCATGTAGTTCATTGCAATGCTATACATACCACGCCGAAAAACCCTCTATCCATCTCAGTCTTCTCAGGTGTCAGTCAATCTTCGCTTACGTGTAAACAAGAGCAAGCACTCTGTAGGCTAGCTTACGTGCTTGGGGATCTTAGCTTATTCAGGCTTGGCTTAGCTGGCTTTGACATCCGCTCTCTGTATTTGTGTTTGTATTTGTGTGTGTGGGGGAGAGAAAGAGGGGTAGAGCCAAAAGGTACTCACTCACAGGTCCAAGGTATGCTATACTTCTAGAATGAGCGAACCGTCTTCTACTAACGCCCTAACAACACGCGGTCACTTACACCCAGCACCCTCTTCACGGAAATCGAGTTGCAGATACCTATCTACCTGCCTACCTGCCTACCTGCCTACCTGCCTACCTGCCTACCAACCAACTAACCCCTATTCCGTCCCGTCCCTTTCCTTCCCCTTCCTTTCCTCCTCCTCCTCCTCCTCCCCCATACACTCTCCCCCGCACTCAAAAGAAATCTCATTTTTCCGCACAGCGATTTAGATCACTGCCCCCCCTTGCCCCCCC